CCAAATATAAGGCCGTCAGCATCCCCGGCCACACGCCTCTGTGCTGACAACAGGTGACCATAGAACTCTTTCAGAGGTTTATGACATTCATCAGGAAAAGGTTAAGAGAAACTTTGTCCAAGGAGGAGAGATGCAGAGCTGGTAATGTTTTTATCATACTTCTACTGTAAGTATCTCTGTTAGTCTTACTATTGTGACTCCAGAGTTTTTAGTGTGGTGCTTTAAAACAAAGGGCTGAATCACCTTATGAAAGCAATTAATGAACATTTTACCCCAAGGCAGAGTAACACTTCAGTGACATGTATCAAAGTAATAATAGATTGGATGAAGGACACGTCTAAAAGATGCAGGACACCAGCCTCAGGAACCGGACTTACCCGGCCCTGTCTTAGAGCCTCTCAGGTCCAAACTGAGCTCCAGCTGAAGCGTACTCTCTCTCTCTGACAGGCAGGCGGACCGTCAGAGTTGAGGTCATGAGAAACAATGCAGCAGATATCTAATTACACCAGCGTTGAGGAATTTTTGGCCTTATTTGGGAGGCGGAGGGTTTGTGGGGGGATATTTAGTGTTTTTGTTTCCCAAAAAGGCAACAAGAATGAAGAGCTTACATAGATCCTCCAATAAAACCAGCAAACACGCTGCCGGGGCATAAACTGGGAGGGTTTCTTTGGGCTAAATATAAAAATGCAGCACTAACATATCTATGGAGGGGTACAACCTTTGATCTGTGTGAGAGTGTGTGGGTGTGTGTGTGTGTGTGGGGGGGTCCTCTGTGCTAATCGTTTGCACATTTTCCTTTTTCTTCTCTGCCCATTCACTTTAAATGGCTATCAGTGGTGCTCAGAGACAAACACGAACAACAAACAACAGAACAGAAAGCTGGTAAAGATTTCCTCAATGTTTCTAACCTTCTGTCCCGTCTCTGGTTCTGCATCGACTCGGCGGGTTGGTCATAACGGGCAGCACCTGCTAGGTCTGGGGCGCTGGCCGAGCTGTGCCAGCGTCCAGCGCCATCCGAGGTCAGAGAGCCCCTGGGGGCCTGGCACGGGGGGCAGGGAGGGTTGCCTGGACACCAAAAACCACACAGAGGGTTTCAGATTGTTGCGTCTAGTGAAAGCAGTGAAAGGAAACTACTCTTTGGAGCAAGTCTGAAATGGATATGGAGATCCTGTGTCTCTAAAACACAAAAAACAAAAATCAGCAGCTAAGACCAGGAAGAATTATTTATTCAAATCACAATAAATGCCTTCAAGCTGCTTCTAACAATCCTATCATTAACAGCCTTATGACTCAGGTGCAGATGTTGACTTGGAGCTGATTTATTTTTACCTTCAAGCAGCATTAATATCCCCCAACATTCTGCATTTTGTTATATTTATGAGACAAACACCAGAACAGCTCATCAATGTGAAGTAAAAGGATATGAAGAAAAATGTACGTGCAATGAAAATTATCCTGAAAATAAAAACGCTGTTGTTAAAACATGTTGGCAGCAAGGCAAGGCAAGGCAAGGCAAGGCAAGGCAAATTTATTTGTATAGCACAATTCAGTACAAAGACAATGCAAAGTGCTTTACATAATTAAAATACAGGAAGATAAAACAGAATCAAAGCAAGTAAGAAAAAATAAATAAAATAAAAAATGCAGAAGCAAAAAAGAATATTACAAACAGTTGGACTAAAGAAAACATGTTTTAGTTGAACTGTTTAACTAGAACAGTGGAAGGCGATCCTAAACAAATGTGTTTTTAGTCTTGATTTAAAGGAACTCAGGCTTTCCGCACTTTTCCAGTTTTCTGGAAGTTTGTTCCAGATAAGTGGAGCATAGGAACTAAATGCTGCTTCTCCATGTTTAGTTCTGGTTCTAGGTCTGCAGAGCAGGCTGGAGCCAGAAGACCTGAGTGGTCTGGAGGGTTGATACACTGATAGCATGTCTGGGATGTATTTAGGTGCTAAGCCATTCAGAGATTTATAGACTAACAGAAGGATTTTAAAGTCTATTCTCTGAGATACAGGGAGCCAGTGGAAGGACTTTAGAACTGGGGTGATGTGCTCTACTTTCTTAGTCTTAGTGAGGACACGGGCAGCAGCGTTCTGGATCAGCTGCAGCTGTCTGATCCACTTTTTAGGCAGACCTGTGAAAACACCGTTGCAGTAATCAATTCGACTAAAAATAAACGCATGGATTAGTTTTTCCAGATCATGCTGAGACATTAGTCCTTTAATCCTGGAAATGTTCTTCAGGTGATAGAAAGCCCACCTTGTAATTGTCTTTAAATGCTTTTGGAGGTTCAAGTCTGAATCCAGCACTACACCTAGACTTCAGGCCTGATCAGTGGTTACTAGCTGAAGCCACTGAAGCTGTGTGCTAACTTTAGATCTCTCCTCTATTGGTCCAAAGATTATTACTGCAGTTTGGTTTTTTTTTCAGTTGAAGAAAATGATGGCACATCCAGGCATTGATTTTTTCTAAGCATTTCCTCAGCGCCATGCAGCGGGGATCATGTTCTTTATCAAGAAGACTGAGGCTCGTCAAAGTTTTTAGCAAAACAATCCTGGATGTAAAGCTGTTAATGCAAAGATTAGAGAACGGGGTGGAGTTTCACCTTCCAACAGGAAGGAAACCCTGAAGATACAATCAAAGTTTTAAGCACACTGGTGGTTTTACTGATGGCAGGTAAATACAGGTCATGTTTAAGAGTTTTATTTGGAAAACATTTTAAAAGAGATGCATCTTGTTCATTTGTTCATTCTGCTTTAAAATTGTGCACCACTTTGTCGTGGTTTGGTCAGAAGGAATTTGTTTTGTTTTTTTAGGTAAGTTAGCTTGCCTTCAAAGAACTATTTGACATTAATTTTTCTTTTCCTCGTTTACAAATTTGATATCTGAATTTAGAGTAAGGTTGATTTCATTTTTCAGTTGTAGAACAATTCCCAAAGCAAAAAATACTTAATATCTTAATTGCATTCCAACAATCTAGAACTGCAGTGGAAGAATAAAAATCCAGAAACATTGCTGTTACATTTATTTTCCTATAGTTGTCTTTTAGCTTTCCGAGCATCTTTGGTTGTGTATAATAAAGTGGCGCAAAAGGAATTTTACACAGAGGTAATTATGATTTTTTTTTTTTTCTTTAATTTTAATAATATAATTGAACCAATGACGTCTTCTTCTTCTTCTTCTTTGTTTTAAAACCGTTTTTCTAATCTGAGAAAATTTTCTCCACTGTGAAGAACATAATCCCAAATACTGTCTCAACCCAACACATGTTGCCATGGAAACAACAACACAACCCGATTCCGTGTTAATGCGCATAATGGCCAATTAATCATTTTGTTTAAACAAGGCTCACAGCCCAACATGGCGGCTACCAACAGTGATGTCATCGTTAGGCAACCAAAAAAGCAAACAGAGGAATGAGAGATGTCTGCCTCAAAGTAAACAGAAACAGATCCATTTTTTGTGACAGAAATTATAAAGAAAGCTGAAGAAATATATTGTATTCAAATGACTCACTGGAACATCTCTGTTTATGAGCTCATCAGGAAATAAGGAATAGAAAAATATTATTTGGCCTCTAGCTAAATATTTGACAATTCATGGAGAATAAAAGAAACCTCTGGAAAATTCCCACCATCTAAATAAAACCAGACTGACTTGGCAGGGTTGTCCATGTTCCTTCAATAAGTTGACGACTTGATGAGTGTCTGTCCACTGCACAGTCAGCGTCTCTTTTGACTAAACTTACACACAAACATTGCTAAGTTTGGACCAATGCAGTCAGACCCAAACTGAATCAGATCAACTTTCATTACAGTTCAAGTCAGATCTAATCTGATTAGGTTTTATTGGTATCAAGTTTTTTTTTTTTTTTATTTCTATATACCTGGAAAAAAAAGAAGAACATTTTGTTATCCAAAGTGAATCACTGATGAAAAAAACTTGTGTTTTTGAATAACTTAGAAACATAAAAAGGAAACTAATAAATTAATTAACTTCATAGCTTATAATCAAAAAGTCATTTTCTCTTCTTGATTACTTGTCAGTCCCTTTGCTTCAATTCAATCAATTCTGCCTTTCAGGGGAAAAATAGATAGAACTGCATCACATAAGAAGTGAAGAACTGAGGGAGAGAAATGTGCATTTAATCAAACTGATCTTACTGTTAAGAGAATTTACACTTCACTTTCAGAAACTGCTGAAGCCCTTTTTAACAGATATGACCCTAAAGCCCCTGGCGCACCTTGACGATTTAGACCAGCGTCTGCCTGAAGTATGAAAAATCTGGCAAAAATGCTGGCACATGTTGGATACGTTATGGGTGCCTTTTGTATAAGTTATGAGCTCGCTGAAGCACGCCGGCACACGTCGACATACGGCGAGTACGTCGAGAAATTTAGAGCCTGCTCAAAATTTCCCTACGTATGCCAGCGTATGCTAATACGTGGGGCATAAGTTACAGGTAAATTATCTGATCCTTGACATGCGTTGTGTAAGTTACTCATAAGTCATTGTAATAATAATAATAATACATTTTATTTCTGGACACTCAAGGTCATCGTACAAAAGATGACCTTGCTAGCTTAACCAAAACCTGAGTAACTTGTACATAACTGATGCGTAACTTATCAAGAACTTCTCTCCAACGTATATCAACATAGTTGACGTTTTCCTGACGACTGCTGAACGTGTTTCTAACTTACAGCTACTGTATAATGGTGTATTAGCTGCGTTTTAGTATAAAAGAGGGTTCACAGCAGGAAACGCAACTTCTCCTCCAGACTTCATCCCCATCATAGGGCGAGTGAGAAGGTGGGTGTGATGGATCCTCTCTGTGTTCACGCCCACGACCAATAGACTTCCTAGCAGACATGATGCTGAATCTGCTGCGACTTCTTTTTTCTTTTTATTTATTCTTCTTTTTGGGGGGGACAAGCGTTAAACAGCAGCCAGGTTAATATCGGGATCAAAGACATCTTTTTATGCAGGCCAGGCGCGTCCAGATGCATCACTGCCCCCCTCAGGACACTGGCTGGTGCATCATTTCATGGGCCTTATGCTGCCGTGCGTTATGCATAAATTTGGCTGTCGTTGGACTCGTCATGAATACTCTATGTTTACGCCCAAAATTGAAAATATAAATTAAAAGGTCAACACTGGGACGCAACTCAATGGGAAAGCAAATGATTGTTATTTCTGGTTTCAACCGTTGCGTATATTAGCTGCGACATATGAATCAAGATACTATGACCGAAAAAAAATTGATTGACAGATGAACGTTGATATATGATTGGCTGAATTTAGGTGTTCAGGCTGACGTAGAACTAACTGGCCTGCAGAAGATAACGTAGAAAATAAAACACACAGATTTTAAGACAGGATTTTTTTTTTTTTATAGATATTTTCTATCTTTTGGGTCAATATTGTCTGATAAAAAGTACATTTATATACATGTTTAAGCCAGAATGATTTGACATTTAAATATGATTTCCCTACGACTTTAAACGAAAGTAATTCCTCTGAAATTCCTACGACTCTAAAGGAATATTCTCAGTAAAGAAAAAAACTTTCTTTTTGTAAATGTACAATTTGCAATTCAGCATAATTTAAGTTATTTGAAGCAAAAATACATTTCTACATCCCTTCCTGACTTCCCCAGAGACTTCCTGCTTGCAGGATACAGAAATTCCCATCAAATTCAAATGACAAAGCAGCTTCAGAGCGGCTGTAAGGGAATTATGGAAACATTCATTTGTCTTGTGGAAGTTAATTATTGTCTAGTGAGAGGAAAATAATGTTTTATCTCTCTGCTTTTAGTGGCATCAGGGAAATTTGAGCCCTCATTAGCATGTTGGTATATATAAAGACCAGGAGATAAATTTAAAAAAGATTCCAGAGATGTCCTAGAAGGAAGCCTGCTGAGTCTCTATCAGAGCTCTGTTCAGTGCACAGAGAGATCTTTGTGCTTAAACCTCATCTCTCTTCTGAGTTTAGTTTCTGGCAGCAGGACTTAATCCAGGCTTTTATTATGGGACTTCTCCAGACTTTGCAATAAGTCGCTGGTGTCCGCTGTCAGCGCTCAAAGGTTGAGCAGAGAGGGAAACCTGTTCTGTGCTGAGCAGCAGGTTTTTAAAGCTCTTTTAAAAAGGACGTTTTTATAGATCCTGGTTGCCGTTTAGCCTAAATGACGCCTGAAGGTCAGAAACGTCTCATTTCCTGAACATCTCACTGGGTTTCTGTCTCTGTTTATGTAACTCCACTTCCTGTCAAGAAAAAAGCTCCGACCACCAGTTCCCACGACACAAATGAGCGCACGGTGGATGAGCCTGACCTTAGAAAAAAACTGTAAGTATGGAAAATACCAGGAGATGGGATTGATTGGCTGATATGGATGCTGAATGTTAGTGTCTTAACTGCACCACACCTGCAGGGGTCCACTCTGGGCCCGGGGGATCTGCGCTGCTGACGGTCCAGGTTGGGGTCACATCTGGTCCCGTGGCGTTCAGCTCCTCCTGCCAGTGGTGGGGGTCTGAGGATCCGCCCTCTGAGGCAGGACAGCTCTGACCGGTGGCTGCCATCTTGGCTGGACTGGGGTCCTTGGAGTAGTTTCAGAAACAGAAAATAAGTGGTTTCCCTTCAGAACTTCCCCACATCATCGGTTTTAATTGCAGCAGGAATGGATGCATGTTTTTTAGAAACTTTATCAAGATTCATCTTTAAATTATTTTTTTATTATTTACTTTTTTTCCAACTGTTTTATACCGATTTCTAAATGTAAACCATCAAAACCACCTTAGTTTACATCAAGCATGTCCTGCAGGTTTTAGACGTATTCCTGATTCTGATGATTGCTGTTCAGAAAAAGCCTGTTCATCATTTATTAATGGAAATCAGCTGATTTACACTCGATCCAATCTAAATTTGGATTGTAGTTATTAAAATCTTTTCCTCACATAAATGTGTAGTATTATCTAAACATTTAACAGCAAATTAATAAGGTAATAGTTCATGGTGGCTTTGAGGACAGTGGAAAATGTCTTTTTTTTAAATCGATCTTTGGTTCTAGGATTTTATCTTAAGCATTAATATGAGAATCAGTTTATAGTTGATTTTTTTTAACACAGCCAGACTTCTTCTGTGTTTTTGGAACCTGTTAACAGACCGTTTCCCACCAGCTGGTAGAGAAGTCATGGAGTATCTTGTAAATTCAAAGCCGCATTTACCCCTTTAAATCAGACAATCAAAAAAATGTCTGATCAGAAAAAGGTGACATCTGTTTCTTTGTCAAACAAAAACTGTTAGCTTAGTTAGCTCTGGTATTTAAGCACAGGTCACATGACTCAGTTACAGATCCGACCATCTGAAGTAACATAGGAGAGTGTTTATGAAGATCGTTGATACACACAAAGAGCTGAATATCGACCTGAAAAAATATTTTAATATCTCAGATTGATACCTGAGTCATAAGTTCAGCAGTATCTGTAATGCAATAAACATTTTTCTTATATATTAAAAACACTCAAACAAGAAAGATTAAAACAAGATTTGTTAATCAGCCACATATAATGAGCTCTTTTGGTAACTCTAACCATTTTCAGCTCTTTTTGTTCAACTTAAGAAGACAAATCAATTAATAAACTCTTCAATTTATGATGACATCCTTCTAATTTAATCAAAATATAAAGAGAAATGTTTTAACTTATCAAAAAGCAAAAAGGAAGTGCGGCAGAAATGTTAGCTCTGACTCTTAAAGAAGGGTAAGAGAACAGGCCTAGCTCTGGAGGTAATGAGATACCTTTTTCCTGCTTACAGTGTAAACAAACTCGGAGCACAAAGACGGTCAGAAACTTTTATCAAAGCTGCTCCATCGTTAGATTTTCTGCAGTGAGGATAAATGAGACTAGTGTTTTCTGAGGAACTTGTAAAAGCAGCACAGGTACTCAGAAAACTTATAGAAGATGCTCAGATCAAATCATCCCTCTTTGCTGTTAGCAGATTTCCGGGTTTTCTCTGAGATAAGAGCTTGTGAAGTTATTTGAGTAAACACTTTCTGTGGTACCTGATTGGCCACTGGGTCAACTTTGCGCTTCTTCTTCTGATTTTGCTTATTGGTCCTCAGGTAAACTGTGAGCTGCTCACTCCAGCTGGTGAAAAAACAGAGAAAATAACAGGATGATGAAGGAGTCAGCATTTGGGAAAAAGCTCCTGGAAGGTTTTAATGGCTGCTGACCTGTTAATGATCTCTTTGTTTTCGCCACGGATGAATATGTCCTGCGCGGGGGTGACGATGCACAGGGCGTTTCTCTGACCCGTCCTGGGCTCGGCATCTGTCAGGTTTGTGCACAGATTCATGTTCACGGTCCCCTGCGGTAGAGTGCTCAGCTGCGGGAGAATCAGACAGGCCTGAATGAAGCGGCTGCAGGTCGGATGAGCTCCAGAACACAGAGCTCACATGATTTATAGCAACAATCAGGTGGATGCTGATCGGAAAGCAGTTTGTGGGGATGGGTGTGGATTTTAAGGGATTGGAGTGGGGGTGGGGAGCATGGAGAGAAAAGGCTAAGCCTCATCATCTGCCGAGATTCTGCACGCAACATCTGGGCTAAAGATGCCCGTTTTAAACCCCCCACCCAAAAAAAATAAAAAAATCACAGTGCTCCCGCAGAATGAGGATGACTGTCAATATTATGTTTATGTTCCAGTTCAGAGTTTAATCATAACAATCATGCTGTTTCTTACCAGTTCATCCAGCGCATAGGTCAGGCTGCCGTTTTCATACAGGATAAAGAAGCGCCGCTGCCATTTCTGATGACAGAAAATACTCTATTATAGAAAAACTGAGTGAAACGTTACTCAAATTAATCCCAACGTTAACAAATCCACATCTCCTACCCTGGACCTCTGGACTGGATTGTCAAAATCTGTCCCCACAGGAGCCAAGCACAGCCAGCCAGCGTAGATGGGTTTGGCCTGGAAAGAAAGAGACAATTGGGACCCAAGATGAGCATAGAGGCTGCTTCAGCATCAATGCTCCAATAAACAAATGCACCATAAAAATAAATTAAAATGCATTTATTTATTTACTTCTTTTTATCCAATACATTATTTAAATATTAATTTTTGTATGTTGTGTAGTAATTTTGTATTCATAATAACAAAATGCACAAATATATAATGAAATGTCCTATTAAGTATTTTTAAATGATGATTAAATAACAAAGTATTATTTTAAAGCATTCATTAATTTTTTTTTTATATTTATATTTTCACTTTAGATGTAGAAATAGATATAGAGCGAAGTAGAAAAATGTATTTTGATGGACTTTCCAGTCTGTTGCCGGGTAGATTTTTAGGGTCATAAGCTGTAATATTTGGGGATCCCTGATCTAAGCAACACTATTGAACAAATGCTTTGAAATTAGTCCTTCTCTCTGTGATATCTGACCTCTCTGAGGGTGCTTTTGAATATTTGACCTTTTAATGTAACAATTATTGAGTGTACACTGCAAAAACAGAGTTAAAATTAGTAAAAAATTCTTAAAATAAGTGTAACTACCCTTAATTTGAGAGGGTAAATAGGAGGATCTGCCTATGGAATATGTTTAGCCTTAAAATAAGGTAATTAGATATTATGCATTTGATATGAGAGACTGCAGATGTTTTTTTCTTATTTTAAATGTTAATTGTCTTGTTCCATTGGCAAATAGTCACATCTGCTCAATTCAAGAAAAAATGCACTTTATTTAAGAAACATTGACTTGCATAGATTTATTTTTTTTTTTGCTGTGTAAAATTAAAATCCAGGGATGAAGCTCACATTCAGCCACCACATTCAAAGCGATGATAAACTGAAACCCCCACAGACCTGCTAGCAGCCAAAGCTCCTCTGATTTTACCCCAAATAAAGAAGAAACGTGTTTCCTGACACCTTGGTCACATCTTGGCAAAGGCTGCTGGAGCATCGGAGGGAGCTCACCATCAATTAAACATTTCCAAGGCATTAGATACGCCATAGAGCACAGTGAATAAAAGATGGTAAGTGTTTCTGTAAGGTCCAGGAGAGGAACTACAGCAGCAGGAAAGGAACTACAGGAACAATCGACTCCTAATGTTTCTGGGGGAACGGGGCAGAGTGGAGAGACGGGATTTTTTTCTGAAGGAAAAATATTCAAATTTAGCCAAATGGAAAATTGAGTTCTGATTTAATAAACTTTTTGGTCACTGTCCTAAAATGCATGCTTGGGGTGAAACCAGGCTCACGGCAAAAAATCTTATCAGGCGTCAATCAAAACTGAAGGAATTTCTAAACAGTCACCAGATTACAGTCGGCAGGAGAAAAATCTCCAGCTAGAAGAGCTGAGATTAAAGTTTAGGATCATTAATTGTTCTAATAATTTGATCAACCCACCCACCCCCATCTACCGTTCCTCTTCCTATAGAACTGAAGCATCTGTTAGATCCGTTATAAGCTTCACTGTCTCTTCACTGTTTTTAAAATCAGACATTAATATCTGTGTTTGCTAATAACAGCAGAGCTCATTCATAAATTCTGGTTTAGGATCCAAATACGTCCAGAAGACTGAGTTTAGCTCTTGAAGAGAAATCCCCCTGCAGAGCTGTGGTGGAGGCTGCATGTCAGAGGTTCTCCAGCTGCAATATGACAGCTAAGAGGGCCCTGCAGAAGATGGGGGGGGGGGTTTGAACTGGGGACTGTTTCCCAGCTGCTGCTGAACAGCAGCAGGTTCCTCACAGCCGCTGTCAGCGTCTGTAGCTGCTAAACCAACTAAAGGTTAAATTAAGGTTAAAGCAAAATCATCAGCTTTCTGCCTCAAGCTCCTCAAACGTTCAGCTGCTTGGAACAGATTAGAATTCACTTTATAACAGCTGGTGGATCATTTCCTGATCTTTTTGACTTTTCAATTTGATGTCTTTATATTTCATTTATTAAGCTTTTTCACCCATTTGTTTTGGCCTTATTAGAGTTATCAGATCAGCATGAATTAAAGTCTACAGGATCACTTTCATTTATATAAACCAACTTAAAAAATGGATTTTCCTTATTTAAATAAAAAGCATTAAAATCCCATGGAGAAAATAAACACATCTGTGTGTTCTTCCTAATCCTTTGTCCAGATTGATTCATGTTACTTCTCTGTCATCACACTTATTTTGTGCTTTTTTTCTTTTTTTGTGCTTTTTTTCTTTTTCTTTTTGTTTTCTTTGTTGCTCCAAACTAATCTTTTCTCCCATTTGCTGTTCAGATACCAGAACCACCTCAGAGGCCAGTTTTTAGACATCAATGCCTTAAAAAACAACCTTTCTATGGCCCCTGACCAAAAGCGCAAATAAGCCTAGTTTTTAAAAGTCGATCAGCTTCCTTGTAAAGCAATATTTGCGCAGATGGCCAAGAAAAACACATAAAACCACTGGAAGGATGCAGCAGATAAACAGCCTCTCTCTGAGTCAGACTAACACTATGTGGAGTGTTTGCAGGTTGAGCAACAGTGCAGAAATTACAGGGTACGGAGAAAGCAGGCACGGGGACAGAGAGTGATAACATATTGGAACAATGCGAGGCATGTACTGCGCCGTCTCCTCGACACGGACCTTCCACAGGGCGCGCACCGAGGTGCAAGATAAATATCCTGCTGAGCTGGAGCGGATCGGCTGTCGCCGTTTGGAAGACGTTGGTGGCCGTTTATCTGAACGCTTCCATAAAGAATCAGAAGTTTGTGAGTTTAAACAAGTCTGACTTCAGCCGACGGCTAACAGACATCAACAATACATGTTAGCAAAAATATGACCAAAAAAAGAACAAATGATGACATGTTGTGTGTCTGTGCACTCATAAGGAGTGGCTTACAATAGTCCCCCCCCCCCCCCCCCCGGCTTCGGTCCTGTTTCGTTTCCTCTTAAGCTGGAATTTTAAAGGATTGTTTGAAAGTTTGCTGAGTTTCCTTCACAGAACATGAACCACTTTGAAGCTTTATCTGTTTTATTGTGAAGCAAACAACTAATCAGTGAAAATAAAAAACTTCAGCATGGATTCCTGCCCCCCCCCCTCTGTAGAGGCTCCTTTTGCAGGAGTTACAGCTGCAGGTCTCTCAGGATCAGGCTCCATGAGCTTGCTGCGTCTTGCCACTGGGATTTATGCCCATTCAAAGCTGAGCCGCTCCACTTTCTTCATGTTGGTATTTGCAGAGAACAGAACCTCTATTGCAACCACAGATTCTGAGGTGCATTGAGATCTGGACTTGGACTAGGCCATGGAGGGCAGTCTGGACCCTCTGTTCCTGTCCAGATGGAGCCATCGCTGAGAAACCAGCCTTTATTTTTTATGCTAAAACAGTTTTTATTTTGTCGTTGTTTAAACCAGAAAAGCCAAAAAGGCCACATTTCGGTCCTCCTTCATTTATATAATTGGTTGATAAGTTCCAACTAGGGCCGGGACTTTCACACACTCATTTTCATTAATTAATCATATAAAATGATCACAAAAATTGCCTTTAAAATAAATACGTACTTAAGTCTCGAGTGGAAACCTTTGTATTGGGCGTTTCTTCCACTGGAAGTATTCAAGCTTATAAATAAATTTAAAAAATATAAAAAAAAAGGTCCAAATTTTCATTTCTTGCTTGTAAAAATGATAAATAATAAATGGAAAGACACTTTCTGAAGGGTTGCATGTATAGAATAGCAGGTTTTGCTCCTTTAAATAATCCAGACTGAAGCTTAATCTCTGGAATAATCCTGTATTTAGCATCATGCATCTTAACCTCTGTTCCAACAGTTTCCCAGTCCCCGTTGCAGCATGATGCTGCCACCACCGTGCCTCACTGAGGGAGTGCTGTTCTTAGGCATAAGCAAACTGAGCAACTGCTATCTTAGGGATTATACCCCCCCCCCCCAGAACAATCCCTTTTTTAACGTTTTCTATACAAAATACAGTATCAAAACTCTTAATTCCATGACAACATTATGCATTTTTGTACAAAAAACTCCTTATGCAAAAATAATTTCTTGAACATGGGGACTGATTGACACACAGATGAGGAAGGACCAGCGTAAACCAATCTTTGGAGAATGAGTTTGATCATTTATTGTTTATGTTGATATAATTCTGTCTGTTTTTATACAATATAAGTTATTATTTCTATTTATCAAAGCCGTTTTATTTGCTCTGTGTTGATTTTGCACTACAGGGAACCAAAAAGTATAAACCACATGACACTCTTACTGTAAATAAACGGGGTACTAGTTCATCACTTTCAGTAACAGCAATAGGGTGTGTGACGGATCTGATCATTGAACGTCTGACAGCCTCCATGGGGCCATTTTGCACAGGGCCCCATGGAGGCTGATGGATGTGTTTCCTGACTGCTACTTCTCTGCTACTTTCACCCTGACTTGCCTGGAGGCCTCCTGGGTGTGAAGCTTCTTGGCTTCAGATTCTGGAGCCGTTTAGAAAAGACATGTTTGTTCTGATGTTTAGTCTTAGATCACACACAGGTGGACTTTATTTCACTAATTATGTGAATGCTGAAGGTAACAAATTAGAAAGTTTGGGAAAATTGGTTTTTAAAAGGTTAATATTTTCACAAATTTTCCCTACATTTGTAGAACTTTAGCCAATTTCTTACTGATTTACATTATCAGCATTATGTAACTAAACAAGATCCGTAATGTATTTATTTATTTATCTGGATTTTAAATATATCACCAGGGTCGTTTTTAATTTTTTTAGAGTCAATTTATAACTAGAAATCGACCAATGCAGGTTTTTTAAGGCCGATCATTTTGACATCAGTCTAACTGATCCCCATTATTTGCTGACCAATGCTTCTTCTTTCATTTACATGGTTAAAAATGACGACATGCTATCAAATGTTGCATGGGTCTTAATAAAAAAAGACAAAGCATTTATTAACAAATCAAACAAAACATAAACGATGGAGAGCAAATAAAACATAGAGCATGGCTGCTGAATGCACTGATGAAACAGTGAATGCATGGACCTATGGACCAATGTGCTTTATTTATATGTGTATAAATCATATCAATTATATTCATATAAAAACTGATTATTGGCAAATATTATTCAGTTCTGGGGAAAAGTATTTGGCCCTGAAGGTTCTTTTGATTTTGATATCTTGCAAATCTGAATTCAGATCATTCAATGAGTTTTACCAAAAACAGATAAGCTGAGTAAATGTAAAATATAATCAAATTATGATTTTATGTATTAAGAGGAAGAAAGTTAAAGCAAACCAACTGACCATATTCAAAAAAAATCTCACAAGAGAAACTTTGGTTGTTCAGCAGGATGGTCCAAACAGCAACAGGTCCACCTCTGATTGGCTCAAAAATACTAGCTGATTGTTGTGAACCAAAGTGGCCTAGTCAAAGTCTAAAATAAAATCTAAGAGTAATAGTTTTATCACTCCGAATCAACGAAATGTTGGTGAGTTATGGCCAAAAATTCCTCTTGAGAGATATAAAACAGAGTTCCCTGCAAATGACTGTTGACAGATGTTACCAAGAGGGGGGGGCAGGAAGTTTAGGAGGGGATTAACTTTTCACACAGGGTTGATTTGGGAAGGTTTTTATCTAAATCAATAAAATATATCTTTATCGCACATTAATTACTCTGATCCTCCTAAAAGGAGGAAATACGTTTTTCAAACAGAGTAACCAGACCAAAGCTGGGATCAGGAATATAGTGAGCGCATTTAAAGGGAAAAACAAAAAGTATGTAAGTGTACAGAAGAGGATTAGGGCCACTGCAAACATTTTTTAAATTTTATTTCACTTTAATATGGAAAAAAAGTCAGAATTCTGAGACTAAAGTCATAATTCTACAAAAAAAGTCAGAATTCTGAGATTAAAGTCATAATTCTACGAAAAAAGTCAGAATTCAGAGAAGAAAGTCAGAATTCTGAGATTAAAGTCAGAATTCTGAGATTAAAGTCATAATTCATAGAAAAAGGTTATAATTCAGAGAAGAAAGTCAGAATTCTAAGATTAAAGTCAGAATTTAGAGAAAAAACTGAATTCAGAGAAAAAAGTCAGAATTCAGAGAAAAAAAGTCAGAATTCTGAGATTAAAGTCAGAATTTAGAGGGAAAAAAAACAGAATTTAGAGAAAAAAAATCAGAATTCAGAGATTAAAGACATACTTCTGAGATTAAAGTTAAAAAAGTCAGAATTCTTTTTGCCATATTAAACTGAAATTAAATGTAAAAATCAGTTAACTTTTTAAAATCTTTTTCATTGGCCCTTATCCTCTAAGTGTAATTAAACACAATATTTCCCAGAAAAAAATTGACAGGATTATAAAGGTTTCTCTTTACTAATAATTCATAAAACTATTTATAGGATTTTAACACATTAGAATAAAAATAAAATAATTTTAGCTGTTTTTCTAATGTGCCTAAAGATAATAAATAAAAAACTTAAGTGAAACTGAGCTTCATATTTCAACGCTTTTACATGGATAAATACTGAAGGTACGAATTAAACCAGTGTGTTAACCCAAACAGGGAGTAACTTTCCACACATATTGATCGGTGGGTCAACCTTAGAGGAGATAGAACTAGTTTTTGCCGTGATGTGTGTGAGATGTAACGGTAGCTGGAACATCCCTGTTAGCTGGAACATCCCTGTTAGCTGGAACATCCCTGTTAGCTGGAACATCCCTGTTAGCTGGAACATCCCTGTTAGCTGAGGGGAACCTACCTGCTCCAGGTCGCTGTCGTTCAGCGGATGAACTTCCCGGGACTTGAAGCAGTTCTGACATTTGCTTTTATTAAAGATGTTCGGCTGGAATTTATTACAGGAGCCTGTGGTCTTCTCTCCGGACATGTTTTCGGTCGGTGGAGCCCTCTTTAGGACCAGAGAATCCCCCAAAACTATCCCCCGCTGCCCCGCGTCGCTCCTCGGCATTGAATGAAGCGGGTTTCCCTCAACTGGCAGCTGTCAAACACGGAGCTCGCTTGACGACTGTCGTCATGGTCAATGCGTCTGACGTCACATAAGAAGCCATCTGCATCCGGCTGAAACCTACAAAATAAAATCATATTATTCTGAAATAAAATTAAAAAATCATGTGGAACCAACTACCAGTTTTAGTCCGTGAGGCAGACACCCTGTCTACTTTTAAGGCTAGGCTTAAAACTTTCCTTTTTG